ATGGAGTAAATGTTTTCAAAAGCCTGAGACGTACCGGGATGCGCTGACGACTTCTGTGCTCACCAACACGTTCTATAAACTCACGACCTTTCGCCTCCACAGCGGCTGGTATTGATAGCTAGAAAAAGTGATATGATAAAGAAGTACAACATATGACGGAAAAACCGGCTTACCACTCGTGGATATGTATCTGCAAAATCGTAGTTGTGATTCAACTGTGAAATTATCCATTGTTCATTCGGTACACCAAGCCTGTTTAGTTCCACTTTAGCATCATAAATTGTCCATCCGTCTATCATCGACCTAGATCCAGTTACAGGTGGAGATGATTCTCTCACTGCTTTTGCATAGAGAAACGCATATAAAGGCTGAAAGTTGTCAAATAGTTTATCATTTTGGCTAATTACGGCTTTCATAGTGGCAAAGGATAAAATTTAGAAAAGTCCACCTCTTTGTTAGTAACTGGAAAAGCATATCTAAGTAGAGCATCGAATAGTGGCCTTCTACTATGCGTAGAAGGCTGGCAGGTAAATCGTAGGTGTCGCATATCCTGGAAATGACATGCTGAGAATAGCAGGATGCTCAGATGACATAAGTTCTACCTTGCACGAAATCAAAATCCCATACGCATGTTCACCTCGGCTCACTGTCGAATGTCCAACTTTTTCTACTTTCGAGATGCATCCAAGTGGGACATCAAACTGACACTTCTGGAGAAAAACAAAAAATGGTCATATCATGCTGAGAAAACTTCTCGATTACCTCATCACTTCCTTCAAACCTCAATCGAAACCTAGTCAAAATTACTCGACCCGTAATTTTCCCGATGGGAGACAAGTACCCGATGTTACGGTCTGAAAAGAAGCTATCATGCTATGCATCAAGCAATTATTTGACCGATTTCCCGAGACTGAAATAAAACTTCTGTCGCTCCCAATCTCTTGTTGAGAGATGGAATTTGCTACATCTTCACCTCGCCTAAGAAAATGAATTTTCTTATGCGTATACTTTGTGAAAGTGCACTCCAATTTAAAAAGCCAAATATTTTTTAAAAGATAGTTCAAACATTCTCTCCCCTCCTTTAAAAAATTTAGTGGCAAAAAGGCTATGAACAAAAATGTTAACTCACCTATGAACAAAAATGTTAATTCATAATCATTTACTTTTAAAATTTTCCCAATTTTTCATGGTTTGCCTGACATATATTTTTATCGTAACTTTAGTATTTGATGTTTTGCCATTTCAAATTAACCACTTTTGTTGTAGAATGTCACCAATTGGTGATAAAGGTTTTACTAAAAATGTATGTGTTATATGTGTTAAACAACTGCAGCTACTAACAGATAGCGCCAAAAACCAGCTTTCGATATGTTGTCAAGTACTGCGAACAGAACTCACCAATATTTTCTACCTTTTCACCTGGTAGCTGTCCTGGGAAACACATCTCGCCAGATGCTGCTCTCGTTGCAGCAACTTGGACCATGCCCTCAAAGACATATATAGGAAATTAGAGACCATCAGATTTTATGTTTATGCTTGACAGGGCCAAAGATTTCTGTTCAAATTAACAGAAGAGTACAGTTTGGCAATACTTCACTTACCCATTCTTCAGTCATTCTTGATGTAATTCAATCGCTATAACTCGGAATTCATCAGTAGATAATCCTGGAACATAACTACTTATTGGTGATACCTATGCTGCCAACGACTTTATAGGGGAAAGGCGGCTTACAGCTAAGTTCGCAAACCTAAATCAGCTGAAACTGCTGTTTTCGCCTCCTTCCGTGTAAACCTTTATTGTAATAAGAAAACACCACATCAAAAGAACTAGTTTTTGAAGAAATGGTAAAAAGCCCGCTTCTATGTTTTGTGGACGTCTAACGCGATTATTTCCAACTTGATGCAATCCTTAGCATTTCGTATTCAAAATCTATTAACAAAGTGAAGTATGTTTTTGAGACTACAGATAAACGAAACAATAGTAAAAGAAAAAGAAATTTATTAGTATTATCAATAATTTGTAATGGCATGGCACTATTTTTTTGAACACAGACTTCTCGAGGTATCAAACAAGTGAGCTAGGAAAGCATACGTTAGGTAAGAAAAAGGTAGAACAACTTTGGCAGTATGTACAATATCTCTACAATATCTCCCTTACAAATCTACAAATTATTATACAAAATGGGAAACAATTAAAAAAATGAAGCATCATTGTCATGTATAAGCGGTGTATTGTCAAAAGAAGTAAATAGGTGTTTACAAAGTGTGAAACAATTAAAAGAAAAAAATACGAAAACTATAACCAATCACCAAATGGATGTAAATTTCTAATCTCTACAAAAAGAATGCAGTTGAGGTTGAATGTGGGTAGAATCAGATAGCGAATGGAGTCGAAGCAGATAACATTTGAAAGTTCTGCAAATCGCCGGCGCTCTGTAATATCGGTTGATTCAAAGCAAAGCAAAAAAAAA